CAGCAGGAATACCCTTTAGGAGGTTACTGCATTCATCCAAATGAGAAATGATGAGCGGTTAAACAGGGTGGTTGTATGGATTTTTTTAAATCAACTAATTGAAGTATAATACACAAAATAAACTGTACACATTTAAAGTGTACAGGTCAATGAGTTTTGACAAGTGTATACACCCATGTAACCACAATCAAGAGAGAGAACATTTCTATCAGCCACAAAAATTGGTGCATGCCATAGACTAATTTCCAGTAATGAAATTATTAAATCAGTAATTTAAAAAACTCCCAGGGAACAAAAGTCCAGGACCAGACAGCTTCACAGGTGAATTCTACAAAACATTTAAAGAAGAAGTAACACGTATCCTTCTCAAAATATTCCCAAAAATTGAAGAGAAAGGAACACTTTTGAACTCATTCTAGAAGGCCAGTGTCACCCTGATACCAAAAACAGACAAAGCCACCACACAAGAAAAGAAAATTACAGACCAATATCACTGATGAACATAGATGCAAAAATTCTCAACAAAATACTAGCGTACCAAATTCAACATTACATGAAAAGGACCATACACCATGAGCAAGTGGGATTTATCCCAGCAATGCAAAGATGATTCAATATCCACAAACCAATCAATGTGATATACCACATTAACAAACTGAAGAATAAAAATCATATGATCATCTCAATAGATGCAGAAAAAGCTTCTGACAAAAATTCAACATCCATTTATGACAAAAACTCTCTAAAACTGGCTATAGACAGAACATACCTCAACATAATAAAGGCCATATATAACAAACCCACAGCCAACATCATACTCAACAAAAGACAAGGGTGCCCACTCACACTATTTTTATTCAACACAGCACTGGAAGTCCTAGCCACAGCAATCTGACAACAAAAGGAAATCAAAGGAATCCAAACTGGAAAAGAAGTAAAACTGTCACTGTTTGCAGATGATATGACACTATACATAGAAAATCCTAAAGATGCTACCAAAAAACTATTAGAACTAATAAATGAATTCAGTAAAGTTGCAGGATGCAAAATTAATATAGAGAAATCTGGTGCATTTCTATACACTCATAATGATCTATCAGAAAGATAAATGAAGGAAACAATCTCATTTACAACTGCATCAAAAATAACGTAATACCTAGGAATAAATATAACCAAAGAAGTAAAAGACTTATACTCTGAAAACTGTAAGACACTGATGAAAGAGAAAAGGGAGCCCTCGTACACTGTTGGTGGGAAGGTAAACTGGGGCCACCACTGTATAAAACAGTATGGAGGTTTCTCAGAGAACTAAAAATAGAATTTCCATACCCAGCAATTCCACTCCTGGGTATATATCCATAAAAACAAAAACAAATTTGAAATGTTCAATGCAGCATTATTTACAATGGCCAAGACATGGAAGCAACCTAAGTGTCCATCAACAGATGAACAGATAAAGAAGATGCAGTATACACACACACACACACACACACACACACACACACACACACACACACACACACAATGGAATACTACTCAGCCATAAAAAAGAATGAAATTTTGCCATCTGCAACAACATGGATAGACTTGGAGGGTATTATGCTAAGTGAAATAAGTCAGACAGAGAAAGGCAAATATTGTATGATATCACTTATAAGTTTATGTGGAATCTAAAAAATAAAACAAACTAGTGAATATAACAAAAAATAAAGTCTCATAGATATAGAGAACAAACTAGTGGTTACCAGTGGGGAGAGGGAATGGGGGAGGAGCAAGATAGGGGTAGGGGATAAAGAGGTTCAAAATTCTATGTATTCTATGTATAAAATAAATGAGTTACAAGGATATATTGTACAACACAGGGAATATAGTCAATATTTTATAATAACTATAAATGGAGTATAACCTTTAAAAATTGTGAATCACCTGAAATTTATACAATACTGTACATCAACTATACCTCAATAATAAATAAATACATAAATAAATATTATGAGGATTAAAAAAAAGACATTGATAGGAATTCCCTGGCGATCCAGTGGTTAAGACTCTGCACTTCCAGTGTAGGGGGCATGGGTTCGATCCCTGATCAGGCAACTAAGATCCCACATGCAGCACGGTGTGGCCAAAAAAAAAAAAAGACATTGATGAAAGAAACTGAAGATGACAAACAAATGTAAAGATATCCCATGCTCATGGACTGGAAGAATTAATATTGTTAAAATAACCATACTACCCAGAACAATCTACAGATTCAATGCAATCCTTATCAAAAACAGAACAAAACAAAAAACATTCATTTTTCATAGAACTAGAACAAATAATTCTAGTATTTGTACAGAAACACAAAGAGCCTGGATAGCCAAAGCAATCTTGAGAAAGAAGAACAAAGCTGGAGGTATCATGCTCCCTGACTTAAAACTATACCACAAAGCTACAATAATCAAAACAATATGGTACTGGTGCAAAAACAGATACACAGATCAATGGAACAGAACAGAGAGCCCAGAAAAAAGCCCATGCTTATATGATCAATTAATCTACAACAAAGGAGGCAAGAATATACAACGGGGAAAAGACAGCCTTTTCAATAAATGGTGTTGGGAGAACTGGACAGCTAAACACAAAAGAATGAAACTGGACTACATAATCACACCACATATAAAATTAAACTCAAAATGGATTAAAGACTTAAATGTAATACCTGAAACCATAAAACTCCCTGAAGAAAACACAGGCAGTCAGCTATCTGACTTCAGTCTTTTTCTTTTTTTAATTGGGGTATAGTTGGTTTACAATGTTGTGTAAGTTTCTGCTGTACAACAAAGTGAATCAGCCATATATATATATATATATATATATATATATATATATATACACACACACACATATATCCCCCCACTCTTGGATCTCCCTCACCACCCACCCCACCATCCCACCCATCTAGGTCATCACAGAGCACCGAGCTGAGCTCCCATACAGCAGATTCCCATTAGCTATCTATTTTACACATGGTAGTGTATATATGTCAATCCCAATCTCCCAGTTCATCCTGCCCCCGCCATGTCTGCACATCCATTCTCTGCATCTGCATCTCCAGAATGACCCTGATTTGTATCTTTCAGTCATGTTTATAGTGATTCCACAGAGTACATCAGAATGTGGGTTTTACGTCACGCATTTTGAAACAATGAAGAACATCCGGGCCCCTGGCTGCCATCCTGGATTGCAGTGTTGTTTGTCCCCCTTCTGCACATGGCCCACCTGAGCTGAGGTGTTGGTGGCAGCCACTCCACAGTAGGAACTCCAGTCAGAAGAGCCAGGTGAGAGGCCTCTGCACATGGCCCCTGTGAGCAAGTGAATCCCAACTAACAGTGAGAGGCCCGCGTACCGAAAAAAAAAAAAAAATGTACAGAGGACATGAATAGACATTTTTTCCAAAAAAGACATACAGATGGCCAACAGACACATGAAAAGAGGCTCAACATCACTGATCATCAGAGAAATGCAAATCAAACTGCAATGAGATACTACCTCACAACTGTCAGAATGGCTATCATGAAAAAGACAACAAATAGCAGGTGTTGGTGAGGATGTGGGGAAAAGAGAATCTTTGTGCACTGTTGGTGGAATTGTAAATTGGTGCAGCCACTATGAAAACCAGTATGGAGGTTCCTCAAAAAATTGAAAATATAACTGCCATATAATCCAGCAATTTCATTTCTGTGTATTTACCCAAAGAAAATTAAAACACTAACTTGTGCCAAGAAACACATCAAAGGATGCTCAACATCATTAATCATTAGAGAAGTGCAGATCAAAACTACAATGAGGTATCACCTCACACCAGTCAGAATGGCCACCATCAAAAAATCTACAAACAATAAATGCTGGAGAGGGTGTGGAGAAAAGGGAACCCTCTTGCACTCTTGGTGGGAATGTAAATCGATACAGCCACTATGGAGAACAGTATGGAGGTTCTTAAAAAACTAAAAATAGAACTACCATACGACCCAGCAATCCCACTACTGGGCATATACCCTGAGAAAACCATAATTCAAAAAGAGTCATGTACCACAATGTTCATTGCAGCACTATTTACA